TATATATACACAGCTTTTCTTTAACTATAAATCGATGTCTGTAGAAGAACGGTTGGGTTCTTCGAAGTTGCACATCGAAGACGTAAGTTTGATATTGTCGAGTGGGGATATTTTATTGCAGAGCATGTCCGTCTGGGATAATGCATTCCTCTCATCCCGGGCAGCCAGGGAAAGTGGGGCTGAAGTAAGCCAATCCCTACAGGTAATAAATTGCGTCGATGGGGATACAAAACATTTGCAATCGGATATCAAACAAAATTGTCATCCCGAGAGCGTTTATGGTGATTATGATTCTAGATAACATAAGCGCAGTGTAAATTGTTCCGGTGTTTTTAAATATTATTCCGCTGGAATTTGACATGAAAAAAAAAGCCTCAATATTTTCGCTAATGTTAAGCTTTTGAGAAAAGTTAATAACGAATTGTGTTGTGGTACATTGTGTACCTGAGAATAATACCCTCCTCTCTTTTTCTCCTTTTGGTCTAATATGACTTTGTACCAACATTGAACATCTTTAAAACTTATAAGTAGTTGTTTTGAAATATTTTTTTGAAGTTTACATCGAAATATTATCATAGATTGAATGTTTTGTGAAAATGATAAACTTAATTTCTCTCAAAACTAATCAAATCTGACCTATGATTGTATTTGTTATTTTTATCTTAACGGAAAGTGCTTGAACATTTTTAGGAGATACACTGCAAATGTTTGAATTTGACTAAAGTATATACTGATTTATCAACGTTTTCAAGCTACACTTTGTTCCAAAACAAATTTGAAAAACTACGCTATCCTGATATAATTTTAAAAAGTACTTGTAGGCGTTTTACGAGGTCGCATTAATAGGTCTATAAAACGCCAACAAAGCCGCAAGGACGTAACGCAATTCGCCCCCTATTACGCCACAGTCCTACCTGCCGAAAGTTTGATCCTTAACTCGCTCTCCATTTAGTAGTCGAATAGAATGGCAGAAATAGGTTATCGAAACTGGTATGGTAAATGATCATTCATATCTCTGAGCATTGCAATAGTGTGTGTGTGTGTGTGTGTGTGTGGGTGTGT